GTGATACTACTGATCAGGAGGCACGCGAGTAGTATGTGTTGTTCGTAGAATTTCGCTTTGCGTCGACTGAAAAAGGGAATTCTGTCGCGGAATTCGTGGGGCCACTTTGTAACATTTGCTTGGATTTGACCGACGAATGAGTGGAGGCAACGAATCTCTAGGAAGACTCGTTCGGGAGAAGATCGGTGTCCAGTTTTTGTAACTAAGATGCAGATTAGAGTTTTGCTTCCCTGTTCAATGGTCTGTAACCGGTCAGTTGGCATTTCCGGATAAGTAACTCCGCAGCGAAGGCCTTCTTCCTTTCATTTGGTGCCGTGACCAGGATAAGGATGAATATCCCATGGCCGAAACCTTTTGAGGATGAGGATGTTTGGACCTTCCTTGAGGACTTTGAGGAAGTTGCGGAGGCTGCCGTGCTGGAGACCGACCGGGGTAAGTTGGCAGCGCTGAAGGCCCTCCTAAGGGGCCGGGTGAAGGCGGCCCTGGATGCGGCCAGAAGAGGCCCTCAGAAGATGGACTGGGCCGCCGCGAAGGAAGTCCTTGCAGCGGGGTTCGACACGCCGTCCGACCGCCAGGAGGCTATGAGGCGGTTCAAGACGGCCAGGATGGCACCCGGATCGGACCCGACCGTGTTCTTCTCCGGCCTGCAGCAGTTGTTGGATCGCGCTTTGCCGATGCTGGACGGAGTGTCGCGACACCAGTTGCTGTCGGATCAGTTCGTCGAAGGTGTGCAGCCCGCGCTGGGTGCCCAGTTGCGGTTGGCACGAGCAACTGGCCAGTTGAGTGTGGAGGAGCTGGTGCGTCTGGCCCGGGAGCTGCCCGAGGAACCACTGGCCACGTTGCAGTCGCCGGAGAACAGGGATGCTGCATCAGTGGAGGAACTGCAGACCAGGGTGGACCAACTCACCGAACAGCTGGCGGCCGTGAAGACGGAATCGCCGAGGCACGCTCGATCCAGCCGGTGCTACATGTGTGGCAGGTCTGGCCACTGGAAGAATCAGTGTCCTCGTAACCGATCGCTTGTACACAATAAAACTTTGCAGTACTCCTGTTTTCCTGGGTGGGTCGCGATTAGCGCACTGACACAAGCTACCGTACAAGCCATTGTCGAGGTAGACGGGAAAAAGGAGTTATGTTTGATTGATACCGGAGCAGGCGTATCGCTGAGGCAAAGAGGGAACCAAGCTGAACACAGACCGTGCGCGCTAGCCGTGAGAGCTGTTGGCGGATATCGATTGAAGATTGACGGACTGTCAACGCACTCGATACGCCTAGGCGACAAGTCCGTGCAGCACGCGTTCCTGATCAGCCCAGACGTAGAGCAGACAATATTGGGAGCTGATTTTCTGAAGGGCGCAGATGCCGTGATTGACCTAAAGCAGGGAAGACTGGTGACAAAGTATGGCGCAATCAAGCTTGAAGGTTATCCAGGCACTGTCATGAGGGAGCTGTGTGTCCGAAAACTTCCGTCTTGTAATGTATCGTCAATACGGGCCGTGGTTGAGGAATATTCCGAACTGTTTACGGGCGATGAGGATCCGTTTGGCTTCTGTCTGTGGATTGAACACGAAATTCCTCTGTCATCAGAACGCTTTCGACCTTATGGCCTCCGTCCATTGCCGCTCCATCTACTGTAGGAGGTCCATAGACAGATTCAGTAGATGTTGAAGAATGGTATAATCGAAGTAGCCAACAGTGCGTACAATGCTCCAGTTGTGCTTGTTAGGAAGACGAACGGAAAATACAGGTTTTGCGTGGATTTCCGGAGCTTGAATGAACTGACCGTAAATCGGGTTGTGGCTGTGCCTTCGGTTGCAGAGATTTTCGATTCCCTCCAGTACTCCCGATACTTTCCTGTGTTCGACTTGCGTTCCGGATATTGGCAACGACCTATCAAGGAGGAGGACCGGGAGAAAACGGCGTTTACGGTTGGGGACATCCAATATCAATTTAGACGAATGCCGTTTAGTTTGTCCGGGGCACCATTCACATTCCGGCGCTTGATGCTTCGTGTAACCAAGGGACTCCAGAATGTTGCCGTGTACGGAGACGATATCGTTGTGTACAGCAATTCGGAACCCGAGCACGTAGTTCACTTGAAGGCTATGTTGGAGCGGATCCGGGAAGCTGGCCTGCGGATAAATGAAGCCAAGACACAGCTCGCTCGGAGTTCGGTGACACTGCTGGGGCATAAAGTGGGTCAGGGAGAAGTTAGCCCACCGCCCGAAAAATTGGCAAAGATCAAGGATTGTGCAGTTCCCAATTCAAAGCGTTCTCTACGGCAGTTTTTTGGACTACAGCCGGTTCGTTAAGGATTTCAACACGATCGCTGCGCCAATGTACGATTTGCTCAGTCAAAATCGGAAATTCGAATG